CATTTTACTGTGTGTAGGAGAAGGACAGGGAGCAATGGATAACAGTTGCAACAAAGGAAATGATGTGGGGTGGGAGATGAAAATCAGAATGAGAGTGACTAAACACTAGAACAATTTTCCTGGAGAACTTCTGGGAACTGTCTTTGGAGATTTTCAAACCTGATGTGAACAAGGCCATGAGAAACCCAATCTAACTTTTCCTAGTTTAAAGCAGGTTAGCATAAATGACCTTCTGAGGTTCCTTCTAACCAGAGCTTTTTATGGTTCTACAGCTACAAAATTTATAAGCATGATGCCCTTTTAGGCACTTGTTGTGGTTTAACCCGGCTGGCAGCCAATCATTACACAGCGGTTTGCTCACCCCCTCTCTCTCTGGGAGGAACTACACTACAGGAACTGTATCCTCTACTACAGTACGTAACAGGTTTGATAGAGCGGGTCCAGCTTGGTTAGCAGATCCCCCAGTATTGACTAAAAAGGTGGCCTTTGCCAAGCATGTATACCAATTTTTGAATGTTCCAGCACCCATTGCTTTCAGTGTAGTCTTTAACAACCCATTGTATTGCTTAACTTTCCCAGAGACTTGTGTATGATAAGGAATATGATACACCCAATCAATACCATGCTCTTTGGCCCAAGTGTCTATAAGGTTGTTTCAGAAATGAGTCCCATTGTCTGTCTCAATTCTTTCTAGGGTGCCATGTTGCCAAATAGGCCCAGGATAGTGTTCCAGGCAGTGGCATTGGGCACAGGATATGTTTCCAGTCGTCTGGTGGTTGCTTCCAACATTAGTTTGCTTCCATGTGGAAGGTTAGGTTGCGTCTACATGGCACTTGCCATTGTGGGTTTGAGGGAGTGTGATGTAATCAATCTGCCAGGTCTCTCCATATTTATATTTCAGCTATTGTTCTCCATGCCAAAGAGGTTTTGACCACTTGGCTTGCTTGATTGCAGCACATGTTTCACAATCATGAATAACCTGTGCAATAGTGTCCATGGTCAGGTTCACCCCTTGATCACAAGCCCATCTGTATGTTGCCTTGATGGCCTGAAGTGTCATGGGTCCATTGAGCTATAAATAATTAATCCTTATGTTGCCAGTCCAGGTCCACCCAAGCCACTTCAGTCTTAGCAGCCTGATCCACCTGCTGGTTGTTTCAATGTTCTTCAGTGGCCCGATTCTTGGGTACGTTGATCTTCTACATTATGTACTTTTACAACCAGGTTCCCTACCTGGGCAAAAATATCTTGCCACAATGCAGCAGCCCAGATGGGTTTGCCTCTGCTTTCATTGCTGTAACCACCCCTAAAGGGCATTTGCTACCATCCATGAATCAGTACAGAGACAGAGAACTGGCCACTTTTCTTGTTCAGCGATTTCTATAGCCAGCTGTGTGGCTTTCACTTCACTTTCACTTTTCACTTCTGAAAACTGACTCGATTCACTTTCTACCGCAGCAGCTTCTGCAACTTGTCATGTAGGACTCCATACAGCAGTCTTCCACTTCCGATGGTTTCTCACAATACAACAGCATCCATCACTAAACGGGGCATATTGTTTCTCATTTTCTGGTAGATTGTTGTACAGTGGGGCTTCTTCAGCACGGGCCACCTCCTCCAATGGGATATCCCAAAATATTTGCCTTCTGGCCAGTCCATAGTCACTTCCAAGATTCCTGGGTGACTGGGGTTTCCTGTTCGAGCTTGCTGAGTAATCAGTGCAACCCACTTACTCCATGTAGCATCATTTGCATGATGTGTAAAGGGGATCCTTCCTTTGAGCATTTAGCCCAGTACAGGCAGTCAGGGTGCCAGGAAGAGATGTGCTTCAGTACCAAACACTTCCAAAGCAGATCAAACTCCCTCATGTGCTGCCAATATCTCTTTTTTTGGTTGCGGTGTAGGGCCACAGATACAGAGGGCCTCAGATCCTCTGTATCCCTAATTCCAAAACCCTACAGATTGACCTCAGGTTTCCCCAGGCTCTTTCTGCCAAAGGCTCCAGGTGGGGCCATTCTCCCCAGCTGCAGTGTAGAGCACATTCTTTACATCTGGTCCTGTTTGGACTGGCCCAAGGGCATGAAGTACTTCCTGCTTAGTTTGTTCAAACACTAGTCATTGCTTGGGCCCCCATTTGAAATTGTTCTTCTTACTGGTTAGTTGATAGAGTGAGCTTACAATCAGACTAATTTGGAATGTGCATTCTCCAAAACACCACGACACCTAGGAAAGTTTGTCTTTCTTTTTTGCTAGTTGGTGGAGACATAGCTGTTATTTTGTTGATCACATCTACTGGGATTTGATGATGTCCATCTTTATTCCGTCATTTTATTCCTAAAATCTGGATCTCTTATGCAGGTCCTTTGACTTTATTTTGTTTTATGGCAAAAGCAGCCTTCAGAAGGATTTAGACCATTTTCTTCATTTTCTCAAAAACCTCCTCTGCTGTGTCACCCCACACAATGATGTCATTGATGTATTGCAGGTGTTCAGGAGCTTCCCCCTGCTCCAGTGCAGACTGGATCAGTCCATGGCAAATGGTAGGGCTGTGTTTCCATCCCTGGAGCAACCGATTCCAGGTGTAATGGGCACCCCTCCAAGTAAAAGCAAACTGTGGCCTGCACTCTCCTGCTAAAGGGATGTAGAAAAACGCATTAGCAATATCAGTTGTGGCATACCACTTGGCTGTCTTTGATTCCAGTTTGTACTGGAGTTCTAGCATGTCCGGCACTACAGCACTCAGTGGTGGCATGACTCCACTCATGCCACAATAGTCTACTATTAG